GGGGGGGGATACGCTTCATCCTCAGTCCCACCTGGCTGCTAGACCATTCCCTGCAGCCTCTTCTCCCCCCAGGCTCCAGTGGTCTAAGTATGTGTGATGTCATCACATTGTACAGTTCTATTCTGCCCCTAGACAAAATGAGCTGTTCACAATTCAAAAGGCTGAAGTTCTTCTAGTTTCTATTCAGCCATCAGGCCACTTGCATTTGTCTTTGTTCTTACAATTGTTTCTAGTGCATGCAGTAATTCTGTGGACAAGAAGAGTGTGAGGCATGTTTACTGAATCCCTAGACACCAATTGTTGCTTCAGGAGACTAATTGGGTTGAACCACTTAGTGAAGCGTCTCCTATAACCAATTTTGGGTATTGAAGTTTTTGGAGGTTTCACAGGCGCGTGCAATTGTAAGGCTTGACATGTTTGTTTTGTTTTTTTTTTACCCGACGTGACCCCCATCTTTTATATTTTACCAAAAAACATTTTTGGTAATTTTTTCCTTCCTATAGTAAAAAAAAAGCTCTGTGTCCCCCAAAAATGGTATAAAATTAATTTTCAGTACAGCGTTGCATGACGGAATAAATGTCAAAGTACCGCAGTGCTGAATACTGAAAAATGGCCTGGATGGGAAGGGGGTCTAACACCGTGGACTTTAAGTGGTTAAATACCCATATCTTATTACATAAAAAGATGAGGTTACGAGTAAATAGATATCCAACATGCCCGGGTTAAAAATTGTGTGAGTCTGTGAAACTGACAATTCACTACCCCCAAAAGTCCGTAGATGACGCTTTAAAAGCCCCCACAGGTCATCAACTTAGAGACGCACGTAAATATATGGCCCTAGAATTATTGCCCTCACTATGGACCGCACTTTAATGCTGGGCTTCAGGAGCCCAGCACTGACCGCTATGGGACTGGAAGTGATGTAATCTGCATCGCTCCCGGTCCCATACTACGGGGTGGGGATAGGTGAATGGACGTTCTCCTGCCCAGCTTGGAATCCCAAACACTTTATCTAAATACCTTGGGCTTGTGTGGTACTCCCAGCCCCTCCTTTTTTGTAGCACCATGGTAGCATTTACTTTTCCTCTCCTATTTCAGAGATGGCCATATGGAATTGGTTTTATGGATGCCTTTAATGAATTCTACTGGTAATGCCAAGCATTAAGTTTGGTTCCCTCAATGGGAGGGGTATGAATGTTCCTCAGAAGAGAACAGATATAAAAATTGCTCTGATTTAGGGGTATACAGGTGTAGGTGTGGCCTGAGTCCCTGTGCACACAAAGCGTTTTGTTGCATGTTTTCTGAAACACAAAGAATTCCATTGTTTTCAAGGATGCCAGTTCATACCGAAGTGTTGTCGCTTGAAGCACGGAAAAGCACAGAAGCTTCTTTTCAGGCTGAATAGCTTCTTTTTAGCCCCATAGACCTCTTGTTTTGAATCCTATTGCAACTTTGCTGTCCCATATTATTCCATAAAGCGCTATGCAAACTATTGGCGGCATATAAATCCTGTATAGTAATAATTCGCTCTACTTTATAGTCAAGGCTTGCGCACGCACAGGCGGCGTGAGGAACTACACTACCCACAATGCACCCTTGCCGGCTGTATCAGGGGGCGGGTGTGGGCGGGGCAGGTAGAGCACGGCGTTTTTGCGTTGTGAGCCGCCTATGACTCCAGATCTGTATTTCTAGGATGTTTCTTCGTAAAGCTCTGCTGGCCGGAGGTTCAGCTGCCGCCACCGCAGCACTTCTGGCCGCAGTGGCCGTCGGTAAAAGCGGCGAAAAATCCGGCCTCGATAATCTGATACCGCCGGTAACCACCGGGAAATGGGACTACAACTGGGACCGGTGAGGCTGCGTTTCGCGCATGCGTAGTGCTGGGGTCTTGGCTTGTCGGAGCGGGTGAATTGCCTGGGCTGTGATTCCTATTTATAGACGGTGACCGCGCTTTCTGGTTATTGATGCTGTGATTGCCTTTCCTAGCCTGACTCAACTAAGGTGTGGCCTGTATGCTGCCAGCCTGACCTGCAGACATATAATTACAGGGGCCATTGTTTTGTAGCCCATCCATGGAAGCCTGTGCTGTGGAGCTGATTAGTAGCAGAGTTTCCACCATTATTGCTTGTTGGTTTTACAGTCAGAAGTAACAATGCCTGAGGATAGAGGAACAGTGACTGGTCGCTGAGGCGGTGGTTTTATATTTGTGAGCTACTTTCTTCTAATGGAAACTGAAACCCAAAATAGCGATTGAGCAAGTTCGAAAACATTTGATTGCTACAGAGGTCTCCCCTGATAATGCAGATTCAGGGCTGGCTGCAGAGCATGCCCCGTGACTGTGTTCTATCAAAGTTTGTGACTAGGTTGAATGTGGTTACACATTTTAACGTAATCCCGCCCAGTTTTTCGGCAGGGGAATGTGTGACCACCCATTAGGTGACGCATTCCAACGCTTTGTCAGCTGTTTCAGGGCATATCGGCATCACAGGGCATATCGGCATCACTATCTGTCCTGGAACAGCTGATTGGTCCAGAAATGTGACTTCTATCCGACTCGGGGTGGAATGCGAGATTGCAGTCACAAAGTTGGATAGAAGTGACATTTTGGGACCGATCAGCTGTTCCAGGGCAGATTGGTTCTCCTACACATACGATCTGCGATGCCGATCTACCCTGGAACAGCTGAGAAAGCGTTGGAATGCTTGACCTGTTGGCGGTCACCCATTCTACCGCTGAAAAACTGGGCGGGATTATGGTAAAATGTGTAACCATGGTACAGGTCACACATTCCACCGCTGTTAAACTGGGCGGGATTACGTTCAACCGTGTGACTGGTCACACATTCTAACATAGTCACAAGCGTTGATAGAACACCGGCATTAGTTTTAGGGGATAATAGCCACTGCTTGGACATAGTCAGCAAAGAGCCCCTTCTGTTGAATTGGGGGGATTGAGTAGGGCACCATTAAGAATGCCCTTTACTACTTCAAGCAGTGTGTGGCCCTGTCAGAGCCCCAGCTGTCATCGACCATTTTCAATTGTCCTTTTGTCAAAGGATCCAGCCCGAAAATTCTCAGCCTAACAGTGACTGCAGTCAATCAGCTATGGTACTCCGAATACAATGGCCCGGTAGGGGGGATTCTGTTACTTCTAATAGGGGAATAAAGTGAATTATTTTTTTTTTGTTCTAGTTCAGCCTGTGTGGGGCAAAAGAGAAAAACTATTACTTGTAGGGCCAGCTTGACTATGTCTGTCTCAGGGAACTGGCCGGAGCAGAGTTTTTGTTCAGTGATTGTGGACCAGCGAGTTGATTCATGTAAACGTAAGAAAGGGAAGGCGCTGCTCTAACCTTTTGTTGAAGTATGTATATTGAACTTTGGATGTTTATTTTGTCTTCTAGTCGGGAACCAGTGTCTCTGGTGAACCTGCGTAAGATCAATGGAGAAACTGGAGAGGAAGAGTTGAATGCAAAGCTGACTAAGCACAAAGCTAAAGCCACCAGGCACATCTTTCTTATCCGCCATTCACAGTATAAGCTCGATGGAAAGACCGACGAGGAAAGAGTTCTCACGTCACTTGGTTTGTATCTTTTAAACATTTTGGTGTTGATGTCTAGATCATAGACTCAAAAAAGGAGAACTGATGGACTTTTTAGGTACCCACACAAGTAAAGCTTAGATTAAAACATCATGTATGTACTATAATAAGTTGGCATATCCCACATCATAAGAACAATGAAGTTGATACTTGTGGCTCCAAAGATCCGAAGGTCAATCAAACCGGAACCTCCATGTCTGTAATCTGAGATCTATTAGGGTGAATGTTCATGTACCATGTTATAGAGGTGTCCTTACCCCCCACTAATGTACGCTTTCCTTTTTCAGATTGAGTGATTAGAACCATGCGACTAAAACAACGAGCTGTAATTGAATTTCTGACGAAAGAGGGTTGTGTACCTAAGGAAATCCATTATTGGCTAAAGAATGTTTATGGGGACGCTGTAGTGAACATTAGCGTTGTGATGGGTGAAGAAGTTTCAAGAAGTAGAAACTGAAATTCCACTACAGCGTCCCCATAAACATTCTTTAGCCGGTTGCGCCAGAAATTAAATTACAGCTCGTTGTTTTAGCCCTGGATCTAATCACTTAATCTGAAAAGGAAAAGCATTCATTAGGGGTAAGGGCACCCCTATAACATGACGCATGAACATTCACAGTCACTTTAATCTCAAATTACATTTCTTTTTGATTGACTCTTGAACTATTCATCACACACACCAACTAGCCCCCTTTGAATTGATATGAGTGCTATACATGTCCAACCATATAGAGATGTGCACCGCACTTGACTTCAGTGTTATCAGAGGGGGCTGCACTCTACACATTTCATGGGAATGAAGTGGTCACCACATAGCTCGTGCCTTAGGAGGTGGGCTCTCATCTCTGCACTTCGGCTATTCCACCAACGAACAGGTGCTGGTTCTTCTTGGCTATCAATGAGAGATTATCTGTGATTTGATTGGAGTTTGTCATCCCCCTCCATCTGAAATGGCTCGGGTTCTTTCAAAGATTATACTGATGACTTGCCTATGTAGTGGAGTCCTCCTGTTGCTTTGAGAGCGCTCTTCTGATTTTAGCAGGTATTTGCAGTATGTTGGCTCATTATAAGCACACGCATCATACTAAACACTCCTGAGGAAGCTGCTTTATTCACATGGAATGCATAGAGTGCGGCCCTCCGTGATTACTTTTTTTTTTCCATGATACTGATGTCAAGTGCAGTGCACATCTCTATATGGTTCAGCATATATATCACTCATCAATTCAGAGGTGCTATTTGGTGTGGCTCAAAAAATGCTATTTATCAGTAAAGTATCAACTTCATTGTTTTATGCTGTGGGATTTGGCAACTTTTTTTCACTGGTCTATAAATTTTGGGAAATTATCGACCTCCGAGATAAAATGTGTTTAATTCTTCTATATTTTGATTAGATGAATTAGAAAACAGGTGATAAAGGTGCTGGTTGGCTAAAGTTTTTAAGATATTTTACATTAAAGATTTATACACAGACAAGTACATTTGCCTACAAGGGAGGGAGGTGTCTGATCATGATGCCTTGTAACTTCTCGACAAAGTACGGTAGAGCAATGAAAATGGTACCACATGGAGGTGTATAAATGTATCTTCACTTTCAGACTAAAGATTATTACCTAACTGGAACGTTGTTCTTTTATTGCAAGGTACATTTGTCTTGGTCAGATCTGCGCATTATACAGTTACATCAGGTGGCTTGTGAAAGTGTCATTGCCTAACATTTCCAAGGAACAGTTGTGTGAGATTTTCCCTCAGAAGCCAAGATGCCTCGAAACTGTGTAAACAATGCAGATCATTTCTGCTACATTTGTGGCGAGGTTACATTGGCATCTCCAAAGTGCAGTATGACGGCAGTGGTAAAAAAGGCATACCACCTATATATTGGATGCAAAATAGGGGGTCAGGGCAAGAGTTGGGCCCCTCATTATTGTTGCATTACATGTGCAACTCATCTGTGCCATTGGCTAAACAAGAAGAAAAAGTCCATGCCTTTCGCAGTCCCAATGGTGTGCAAAAAGCATGAAATGTTACATGAAAAACCAATAAATGAATGGAAAGTTGTGTTATTGGGATCAATAAAAGATACATTTATAATGATTGGTGTGGCACCATTCTCATTACTATATCGCATGGTGCAGAAAAGTTATGGCGCATAATCGTATATCCCCCCCCGTACTTTTGATGCACTTTTGACCTGAAGCTGTATCTTGGAAACTGGAGCCAATTAATACTCGGGACTTAATTTCCCTTTTTATTAGTTACCCAATTCTGGTAAAATTTAGCTTCTTATAATTTCCGAGGCTTTCTCCTTGTAGACCAGTGCTATGTAAATACCGTATTTTGCGGTCCATAAGGCGCACCGGACCATAGGACGCAGGGAGGTCCGGCGCGCCTTATGGAGCACTCGACAGACCGTAGCTTCTGTCACAGCTTCTATGACAGAAGCTGCAGTTAGTGACCGCTGAGACAGGTGGCGCTGTGATTACAGCGCCACGGTCTCAGTGATCACACAGAGCAGACGAAGAAAGTCCGTTCTTCGTCTGCTCTATGGTGATCTCGATCGTCGCCGCTGCTCGGTTTTAATACGAGTGATCTCATTAGATCACTCATATTAAACGAGCAGTGGCTCCTACTACTCGCCCGGCGCCCGAAACTGCATGTCTCGGGCGTCGGGATTCGCTCCATAAGACGCAGACACATTTCCCCCCTCCTTTTGGGGGAAAAATACGGTAATCTAAGTTTGAATGTGTGGGTGCCCTTTAACCACTTGACGACCGCGGTGTTTCACCCCCTTCCTGGCCAGGCCATTTTTCAGTGTTCAGCGCTGCGGTACTTTGGCTGACGTTTTTTCCGTCATGCAACGCTGTACTGAAATGAATTTTATACCATTTTTTTAGGGACAGATAGAGCTTTCTTTTGGTGGTATTTAATCACCGCTGGGGTTTTTATTTTTTACTATACAACAAAAAAAGTACCCTAAATTTTGTAAAAAAAACATGTTTCCCTATAAAATGTTATGAAAGATTTATTTTCACCCCAATTTTTTGGTATAATATAAAAGACGGGGTCACGTCGGGTAAATGGACACTAAATATGTGAACCTTTAAAATTGCGCCCGCAAAATCGCAGAAAACGACCGGAACCAAAATTGGCCATAGGCGACACTTTAAACGTTTTTACCGCTCATCAGTTTAGTGTTATCAGTGATTGATGGCCCTAAAATTATTGCTCTCACTCACATCAGTTTTTTTGAGTTGTGTGTTGTTTTTGGATATGGTACCCCACTAGTTTTCCCTTGGAATTATTGAGTTGAATCATAAGATCATATTAAGTTGATGTTCCGTCTACCCAATTTACATTTTGATATCTAGTGGCCTGGTTCTTGGGTCACGCAGCCTGTGTTTGCCTGCTATAATTATGTATTTATTTCTGTGTCCTTTTGAATAAGCATACATTTGTTTCATCTGATGCCTAATATTTCATCTGTCAGGTTTCAATTGCGTTACTACTGTTATGCTTTGTTCTGTGAAAAATGAAACTCTGGTTCTGACCATATAGCTGTAAATTAATGAACTCCATGTGTTGTTTAAGGACGTGAGCAAGCCGAACTAACTGGACAACGTTTGGCAAGTCTAGGATTTAAATACATTCATATTGTACATTCATCTATGACCAGAGCTAAAGAGACAACTGAAATAATCAGCAAATATTTACCAGGTAAGAGTGATTTAGAGTAATAAGGCAGCCCATGCCCACCCAATCTGATCTTTATAAGGGCCTGTATTGATGGGCTTTGGGGGTTGTATCAATACCTTCAATGTGAGATGTTGCTGACATTCAGAATTAATTGATAGGTGTAGTTGACCTGCTTTATGCAGGTTTTGGATTCCCATAGACTTAAGCTTGCCACACACCTTACAATTTATCTGCAGATTTTCTGTGGTCAGATGGAAAAGGGGCAACAGATTCCTCCATCTACACCTAATTGTGTGGATGGAGTAATCTCCACCTGGCCCTATCTGTTGCACTTTTTCCATCTGACCACAGAAAATCTGCAGATAATTGTAAGGTGTATAGGCACCTTAAGTCGAGTAAAAGCCTGCTGATACAGCAGTTCACTCACATTGCATCTGATTGTAAGTTCTATTCTAGATTTACCAGCCATGCAGTTGTAGTACTTACAGTTTTTCCTCATTTATTGAAATTGGCATTTTTCCTTTTGTTGCAGTTCAGACAGTAATGTAACGTGTACATTAACCAGTTACCACATATATTGATCTTTTTCCTTTTCCACTTCAGCTGTGAAAAAATCTAGCTCTGATTTGCTTCGTGAAGGAGCTCCTATCCGGCCAGATCCCCCTGTGTGCCACTGGAAGCCTGATGTAGAGGTCAGAAGAGTTTACCATCAGTGTAACAACCTAGAATGCGTACTTTGTGTTATATAGATATATATCTATCTATATAACAATTTATATATTCTATATCTGTTTACCGTCTGTATGCCTTCTGATCAGAAAACTGTTTCCAGCAGTATTATGAAGATGGGGCACGTATTGAGGCTGCATTCAGGAATTTCATTCACCGTGCTGACCCTAAGCAAGAAGAGGACAGCTATGAGATTATAGTCTGCCATGCCAATGTGATCCGCTACATTGTATGCAGGTGAGATTCATCTCTAGTTTATCCCACTAGTGCCGTGTAGGCTATAAAGTCTTATTTTCAGCCTTCGATTTAAGATAATAATATTAAGCACTACTGGTTGGAACAATAGAAAAAGCAGTAGAAGCTATTTCCACACTCCAGATAAGATTTATTTGTGCTTGGAGTAGTCCAGTAGAATTCCAGGCTTACCTGGGAACACCAACTCATAAAAATCATTTGAGATTACTAGTATTCCTGTGTGAAAGAACCATTCTTCGCTGGACATTTGTAATAAATGTAATCTTCACCTCTGGATTTGTATAATGCTGCATTCCTATCTCGGTGATCACTAAAGTGTCAGACTGTAAGGCCATTCTATCTCCAGCTTCAGCTCCGTACTGATAACACATGTAAAGTGTCATAGCAATGGATCCTTACACTTCTCATACCAACCTACCCATTGTATTGATACTTGACTTTGCTGCATGCACTGGCTGGTCTGTTCATGTTAAAGCCCTCAAATACCTGGAACTTCTGTTTTATGGGGAAGCATCTGACATTCTCTTCTTCCTCCCAGAATGCAGTACTATTGTCCGAGTATTCAGTTGCCAGACATGAACATATGAGGGGAGGAGAAAAGGCAATTAGCTTTGTGAAAGTGCCAACACAGAGCTTGTACAGCGTTTTGACGAACAATGTAGCAGGGGGAGCTTGGGTAAGCTATGTGCCAGTTGGGGTAAGGGGGCTTAATGGAGCCTACAGCCTGGCAGCTCTGACTGGGAAGGAATACATGTGAACAGCAGCACTCGCTTCTAAGAATTAAAGAACTCTCGCACTGCAAGGGTTAAGTGTTTGTTTTGAAAATAAAGAAGTTATACTCCCCCTGATACCTTCGGTCCGTCTGGCTTTTAGACTGGTCCCCATGGCCTTTTCTCCTCTGGGCTCCGGCGGCCTGAGGACCTGTGACGTTTTCAGGTCTAATGCAGGTCCATTAGACGTGAGGACGCCGAGGGGCATACCACAGTCGCTGTGGAATGGGAGAGAGGGGAGCTGTTACTGCCGCAGGACCAAGAATCGGGTGAGAATATCTTCTTTCTTTTTGCTCCTAGACCAAAACAAGCACTTAAGTATGGAAGCTTCTATTGCTGAACTGCCTTACCGGAATTATTAGTTGTCTTGACGGGTTAGAGCAGGGATGTCCAAACTCCGGCCCTCCAGCCGTGAAACTACAAATCCCATGAAGCATCTCTCTCCGGGAGTCTGTGGCTGTGAGAATCTTGCAAAGCCTCATGGGATTTGTAGTTCCACCACAGCTTGGAGGGTCGTAGTTTGGACACCCCTAGCTTACACTGTAACTTAATACCTGGGGGAAGTGACTGTACTGGGACCTGTCCTGGGGAAGTCTCTGTCCCTGAAGACCCCTTCAGGATATGCCCACTGTGACAGGTGAAGCTAGGATGGGTCCATAACCTCCTGCTTCAAGATGAAGACCTCTGCCGTAGTATGGCTTCCCTTGGTGCCCAGTGTGCTGTTGTGCATGTTTCTCCATTGTGATGATTGCATGTGTGCTGCGACACTTTTAAAACTATGTGTTGCAGCCATGGAGCGGGAGTGCTGGATTTTTTTAATTTGGCACCAAAAATTTGGTCCGTCCTGTTGCAGGACAGTAGTAGGTGTTTACTACATTTGCTTGGCTTTTTCCCAGGCCCTAAGGTACATGCGCATGCCATTTCATTTCTCTGGGTGTGTTTTGCTACAGACTGCTGGGCACTCACTCCTTGGTTAAGGCCTTTGTACTGGATGCCACTCACATTGCTTCACTTGTTCACTTCCCAGTGACGCTGGGGGATGTCAACTTGGTTCCGCCAGCCCTCCAGAAGCCACCTTTTGAACCTATTCAGGATATTCACTTAAACTGATCCCACCTGTAAGGAGCTTCTCCTATTGTTGCACGGGGTTAAGGTTGTTCTGAGGCTTCCTTTCTTCCTAAGGTAGTTTTCCCCTTCCACCTTAACCAGGACACTGTTCTTCCCTCCTTAAGTCGTGCAGGCTCCCTGCTTCTCACCACCAATGTTAGGTGGGTTAGACAGGTCATCCTTCATGCATATAGTTTGTAGGTTCTCCCCTTTCCTGTTTAGATTTTATCAGGAGGATGTTCAGGTCTCTTCTTATACAAGTTGTTGGGTGTAAGGTACTTCAAGCTGCCCTCTGAGCCCTCCTGAGATTTTCATTGCCCTTTGTACCTTGTGTCCCTTCAGTGTTATGAATGTCCTGTTGTCCATCCCTCAGTTGGACTGCTTGGGGACATCCCAGGGTTAAGACTAAAGTTCCTGTGTCCTGTCCAGTACGATCAAGAAAATAGGATTTTTAACTCACCGGTCATTTTTTTATTTTCTTTGGGAATAGGAAATGACACTAGTCCCTCCCCTGTGTTTTTGATCTCCCTATTGCTTGCTACCAAACTGGAGCTTGCTGGAAGAGGGAGGGCTTATATAAGGGCTTTATGTGCAATAACAGGATCTGCGCTATGGGGTACAAATTGCTCACTAGCAGCAGCTACTGTGCTAAAAAAGTGTGTACTACCTTACAAAGTGTGTCAGCAAGTGCTCTGCGCTTCAATAACTAAATACACATCCTAAACCAATAGTCATGAGGTCATATCAAATCGCATAAATACAATAGTGATATTCGATTATTAAATGTGCTGTGGAATCACTTGGCCCATATAGGATAAATAGTGCATAAATCCAGTGTATCCAATGTGATATTGAATCAACCCATTCCAATGAGGGCAATAAAGTGTCAAAATAACAAGTCCCTTATACTCTGAAACTATCGCCAAATCCAGTGTAAGAAAACACTCCAGGAACTCTCCTGGATTTTCCAACACCTATATAAGGGCTGTCCCTGCAGCTTTCAGGTCCAATCACCTGAAGGTAGCATATAACCCAGGGTCTAAGAATGAATGAACTTGTGTGCTGTAGCACACAAATCTTTTCAGCTGTCCAGTTACCTGTAACTACACCCAGTGGCGTCACAAGGGGGGTGCAGCCCGTGCCCGGATGACACCATTGGTGGGGTGACACCAAAATGACTGACAGTCATTTTGGTGTCACCCTCTGAAAAGTCGGGCACTCTGTCAAGGACCAAGAGCCTGACATTTGCTGGAGAGGAGGGGGATAAGGTATTCTGCCGAGTGATGTCCCCTCCTCTCTGCCGGCATCCATCACCAAGATGGACGCCGGCAGGTAACAGCGGTACCGTGCGTAACATCATCGTGCGCATTGGGACGCCTCTGACTACACTCTTCTACACATTTTCATTGCTTGCATGAGACAATATGTAATTCTTTTAAGTTTCACAAACGGATAAGGAGTTTATTGTCCCGCCTAAAGTACTATTAAATGTATGCTAGGTCTGTAAGCAAAGAATTATGGGAAATGCAAGTAGATGGAGAAACCCTCCGCACTCCTCACAGCAGTCCCGGCCAGATATAAAAAAAGTGGTGCTTGCAGTGATGAGATACCACGGATGGCGCGTGCAAACACAGGAAAGTCAGGAAATCACCAGCACTCAGTAGTAAAGATAAATATGTCCCTTTTATTGGACAGAAAGCGTCACAGACATCTTTCTGCCTTGAGGAAGGGACCCCGAACGGTCCCGAAATGTCGGTTTATTTGGATGTCTGTGATGCTTTCTGTCCAATAAAAGGGACATATTTATCTTTACTACTGAGTGCTGGTGATTTCCTGACTTTCTTATGGGAAATGCATTCATTTTAGCTCAGGTACAATGTTTCCTGGTTAGCACTGAACAATGTTACTGCGTGATCATATAAGAGGTCTTATTTATCAATGTTCTCACCCATGATTTACCTATATTTCTTATTGAATAGTATGTGATAAATGAGTAAGTCTTGGGTAAAAACTGTTAAGTAGAAACCTATAGTAGTCCATATCTTCATAAGAAAGAAGTGTGTGTTTCTGTTTTTGACACGATTTGTCTTCTTGCACAGGGCATTGCAGCTCCCTCCTGAAGCCTGGCTCCGTATGTCACTTAACAATGGGAGCATCAGCCACTTGGTGATCCGCCCTTCTGGTAATGTCTCTTTAAGGATGCTTGGTGACTCTGGCTTTATTCCACCTGAGAAAATGACTAGGACGTGAGTGTCCACAGCTTGTTGCACCATCCAGCTCCATCACTGCCTGCCCTGAAGATACCTGGATGATCAGATGCTGCATTTATTGTGACCAGCAGTCTCGCCCTCTCTGTGCCTTCTCCTATGATTCACACATTTTAGCAAGACATGGACACTCTTAAAAACAATCACTGTATGGTTAGAGGGTAATTTATATTTGCATTCTGCATCTGCAGGATACCAAGCACATCTGCTTAAGCAGACAAGAAGCTGGCCACTTTGGTAGTAATAAATGCTTCACTTTTTTGTAAGAGGAGTAAGGCACAGGTGGCCATCTACTGTACATGCTGAATACAAAATTGAAAGTATTGTATATGTTTGTGGTGGTCATATTCATAATTGGTGATTTTTACACAACATAGGCAATGTATGTTATTGTGTGCTAAATTTTAATTGTAAATGTTTTCTGCAAGATTGTACAGCATTTTTGTTTTCAGGTTCATTCAAAAAAAAAAAAAAAAAAAAAACCGGGGAGTTTAATTTTACCG